ACCCAACCACCAAACGTGATTCTCACGCGTCGGAGACACCGGGCCCACCGGGACACCCACCCCCGCCCCGCCCCCTCCCTTACATCTATAGCGCCGGTAACTCCACTAATTGACAGGATTGACTGGACACTCAGCTGCTGTGACCGGGAGCACTACTAAGTTCCGTGGATTGCGGATAGAGAGATGAGAGCAAAGCGACACGGTAAAAACAAAGTCTTTCTTTTTCGAGGGGAAAGGGAAAACTTTGAGAAACTTGCTTGGTTTGAGGAAATTATTAAGAGGGTTTGTGAAAATCTGAGGCGAGATCTGAGGAGTTTTCCTGAAATAGGGGAGTTCCTCAAAGTTTGCCTCTTTTCCTCACAAATACCAGCGAAAATTAGAGAGCAGCGAAAGGGCAAGCGAGACGACAAACACGACATGTCTACATACGCGGACAGAAAGACACACAGACAGACGCGGAGAAAGCAGAAGACATGAATATAATGTTGAGCGTCCGCTTACACAGGTATTCATTCATTATATTGCCGCGCGCCACACCCAAGAGTCCATACGCATTAACTCTCTCTATTCCTTTAAACACACACACACACACACACACACACACACACACACACACACACACACACACACACACACGAGCGCGTGCGCTCCACTGCACACGTATACTTTTTTCTGCCCTCACCGTTTACCTGCGCTTGGCTTCGCGCAGCCCTTCGGCCGGCTGGCACGCGAGTCGCGGCCCGGTAATAGCCTTCTATTAACAGACGGTCCAAGTCGTTTTTATCCCATTTTATTATTATTTTTTTCCTCGCGCCTCGTTTGGGTGCTGTTTGGGTTGGAAGTGGCCCGCGCGCGCCTGAGGTTTATTTGTGGCCAAAAGAAGGGGAAAGGTATAGATAAAAAAAAACTAAACGGGGGAAAACAAATCGCGCGCGAAATGTCACACAAATCGGGAAAGGAAAAAGTCGAGAGCTTTATGTCGGGATGAGTGTGCATTGGCAGGCACTGGAGCGACACTGCAGGAGAGGCCGCCTGGCTGGTGACTTCCCTGGTTAGCTCCTCCTGGTATAACTGAGCGTCCCCTACGATCACACAACTGTCAACTGTCATTCGCGTAATCTAGGAATTGAAGCAGATGATTTCCAGGGTGACTGTCGCGCCTGGGCAGCGTGGTGTCCGATAGGCCCCGTACTCGTTTTGGTGATACTGTACGGCATTCACGCGTGTGGGCGGGTTGCCTACTCGCGCGGCGCCACGTTGAGCAACGCGGTAGGCAAGCCCGCCTGCACACGCCTGCAAGCGGCGCAGTCAATGTACTAGGGGACACCCTGTCCTGTGAGGCGTTCCATGGCGTCTCTGAAGCCTCTTGTGGATCGAGCGCTATAAATCCTCTATACACCCAGTTTGATGGGATGGGAACTGCTCAGCCTTCGGTGCAATTTACCCTGGAGCATCCAGCGGGTATCCTTCATAGGTAGGTGCTGCATCATAGCCTGAGGGTTATTTCGGGCACTAGAGCAACTCTATAGAGTCTCAAGCAGGTATGTTTTACATTTTGTTTTCAGGCCTTCGGATGGAGGGCGCTGGAGCCTCCAGACATTCTTCTGTTGGTAACAGCACAGCCTCCACCACGGTGCAGTGGAGCTTCCAGATATCCTCCCGCTGGTCACGTGGTCACTGCACGGTCTACGCGGGGCACTAGGTCACCCCCCTGGACCGTTGGATCCTCCAGGGGGGTGCATCCCTTGGCTTCCCGGGCCGTCCGGAGCCAGCAGAGGG